CCTCATCACCTAGGTGTTGTGCTGCAGCTGTGTGCATGCACCAGGCATTTATTGGTCAAATTATCAGCCACATCAGGCAAAAAAAGCTGATTTCTGATACAGTCGATTTTCTTTATATTGGTGCCGATCCAAAATCAGACTGATGTACCAGCGCACCTCTGATTTCTACTTTACTGGCTAATTTCCCTGACTTATAGTAGCTGGAGAAAGTGATCGTTAGAGCAGATTTAGACTGGACATTAGGAAGAACTTCTTCACAGTTAGAGTGGCCAAAATCGGGAATGGGCTCCCAAGGGAGGTGGTATTCTCCCCTACCCTGGGGTTCTTCAAGAGGAGGTTAGATAGGCATCTGACTGGGGTTATCTGAATCCAGCACTCTTTCCTGCCTATGCAGCAGGTCGGACTCGATGATCTATTGAGGTCCCTTCTGACCCTAACATCTCTGAATCTATAAGTTTCCCTTCAATCCTTAGGTTGCTCACCAGATCGTCCCCTTTGGCCAGAACCAAGTCTAGGAGCGCCTTGCCCCTGGTTGGCCCATAGACTTCTTGTGTTAGATAGAGCTCCTCAATGCAAGTGAGGAAGCTTTGTGAGTGATTGGATCTAGCTGAGTGCTCATCTCACGAGATGTCTGAGTAGTTGAAGTCACCCATGATGACCATACTCCGAGAGCATGTAGCCTCTGCCAGTTCTCCAGAGAATTCCTGGTTGAGCTGTTCCTCTTGGTTTGGAGGTCTGTAATAAACTCCTACAATCAAATCCCCTTCCCTGTGCTCTCCCCGTATCTTGACCCAGAGGGTCTCAGGTCACACTTCTTTGGCCCTTTGCCTTCCAATCTTGGCTTCTGGGGAGATGTAATGTTCCTTTACATAGAGAGCAACTCCACTGCCCTTCTTCCCAACACGATCCCTCCTATACAGGGTGTATCCCCCTATCCCCGGGGTCTAGTCATAGGTAGAGTCCCATGTGGTCTCTGTGATAAGATCATATTGGTTGTTGGTTAGTAGGAGAGCCAGTTCCTCCTGCTTGTTTCCCATGCTTCTAGTGTTAGTGTACAGGCACCTAAACCTGCCATTGGAGGCTGTAGGCTTTTGGCCGAGCACGGGAATAACCTGTCCATTGGCTTGTGCTGGAGAAAGCTTCCTATTGTACCCTGGGATGCTGGTTTTGAGGTTGCCATTTTTTGGGTTTGTGCTACTGGTTGATGGCCCATCCCCCAGCGATCTCAGTTTAAAGCCCTATCCAGGAGGTCCACCATTCTAACTGAGAAAAGCTTCTTCCCCTTTGGCATGAGGTAGATGCTGTCCCTTCCCAAAAGGCCACAGTCCTAGAGGTGCATAACATGGTTGAAGAAGCCGAACCCCTCCGGAGTCTTCTGTTTACTTCTGTGCACCTATCCCTCCTGTACCTGTGACCAGCAACTGGGAGGACTGAGAAGAAAACTACCTGCACCACCAATCCCTTGAGCGAAGCCTGCAGAGCCCTATAGTTTCTCATGACCCAGCTCTATCTTTCTTTCTCACCTGACCTGGGCCCTGCAGTGTCAGGTGTTTTCCACTGCTTGGCTACAGCTGGGGATTGGATATGGATGAACCAATTGAAGTTAAATCCAGACAAGATAGAGGTGATGGTGGTGGGCAGTCCACATGACCAGGTGAGGAGGTGGGGTTGAGACACCTAGCATTTAGGGGGTTCAGCCTCCCCTAGTCACTTGGGTTCACAGTCTTGGGGTGCTCCTGGTGGTGTTGGTGGCTAGGAGTATCTTCCACCAACTCCTTCTGGTCACAAGGTTGTGACCCTTTCTTTCAGATTGAGATATGGCCAACATTGTCCATGTTTTCATAACTCTGAGGTGCAACTACTGCAATACACTCTACATGGGACTGCCCTTGAAGGCACTGACTACACTCTACAGTGTAGCAGTAAGTTGCTACCAAGTCCCCTCTCAGCCTTCTTTTCCTCAGGCTGAAAAGTCCCAGATCCCTCAGCCTTTCCTTGTATGGCTTGCCATGCAAGTGTCTGATCATATGGATAGCTCTTCTTTGGACTCTCTCAAGCTTGTCCGTGTTCTTGTTAAAGTGTGCTGCCCAGAACTGGATGCAGTACTCCAGCTGTAGTCTCACCAATGCTGAGTAGAGTGGAAGAATCACCTCCTTGGTTTTGCTGGAGATGCATCGATTGATGCATGGCAGAGCATTATTTGCCTTACTGGCTACAGCATCACACTGCCAGCTCATATTCACACTGTGGTCTGTTATTATCCCAGGTGCCTTTCATTCGTGGTGCTAGTCAGTTCGGTGCTGCCAAGCCTGTAGGTGTGTTGGGGGTTGCTTGTCCCAAGATGGAGCACTTTACATTTCTCAATGTTGAACTTCATCGGGTTTTGATCTGCCCAACTTGCTAGCCTGCCTAGGTCTGCCTGTATCTGTAGCCTATCTTCAAGAATGACCATGCTCCCCCATAACTTGGTGTTGTCTACAAACTTGGCCAGTGATCTCTTCACCCCAACATTCAAATTGTTAATAAAGATGTTGAAAAGTACTGGACCAAGCACAGACCCCTGCGGGACACCGCTGCCCACTTCTCACCAGGATAACACAGATCCGTTCACTATGACTTTCTGGGTCCTATCCTGCAGCCTGTTTCTCACCCACCGGACTGTCTTGGAGTTAAGGCTACAATCTTCCAATTTTCTTACAAGGACATCATGGGATACTAGATCAAAGGCCTTTTGGAAGTCAAAGTATACAATGTCAACCTGCTGTCTCATGTCCAGGTGGTGAGTTACCTGGTTATAGAAGGAGATGAGGTTGGTACGGCAAGACCTGCCTGTGACAAAGCTGTCATTCAGAATCTTACCTTCCACAAGCTTATCGCAGATAGACTCCTTGATGAATTTTTCTAGGATTTTGCCCTAGGATAAAAGTTAGGCTGATTGGTCTATAGTTACCCGAGTCTTCCCTCCTGCCCTTCTTGTAGCTGAGCACAACATTGGCCCTCTTCCAGTCCTCAGGGACTTCTCCAGAGTGCCACGAGTTGTGGAAGAGTTTCTCCAGGGGTTCCACAATGACTTTGGCCAGTTCCTTCAGCACTGTTGCATGAGGATCATCCAGTCCTGCTGACCTGTATATGTCTAATTTTTTTAATTGGTCAGACACCAATTCTATGACAATAGTAGGAAGGTGATTATTCCTACTGAGCTCATCCTCTGCTTTACCTGGAGTGGTTTTCCCCTTGGTCCGGCGAAAGACCAAGGCGAAGTAGTCATTCAGGAGTTCAGCTTTCTCCTGGATACTGGTAAACGGCTCTCCTGAGTTGCTGAGCAATGGCCCACACTCCCATTGTTTTCCTTCTGTTCCCTATGTACCGAAAGAAGGACTTCTTATTGTCCTTGATTCCCATTGCTAATCTAAGTTCGGTCGCCACTTCAGCCTGTCTTATCTGTTCCTTGCAAATGCAGGCCATCATGGATAGTTCTCCTTGGGTCCCACCCCAAGCTTCTATTGTTTATAAGCCTCTTTCTTCTTTCTTAAGAGGACTGTGATGTCTCTGTTTAACCAGGAGGGCTTGCCAACCCTTCTGTTACTTTTTCTCTGCATGGGAATGGACTTCCTTTGTGCTTCAAGGATCATGTCCTTAAGGAACAACCACTCTTCATGCACATCTTTTGCCTTCGGTCCCTGGTCCCACAGTACTTGCCCTACTAGTGACCTAACCTTGTTGAAATTTGCATTTTTGAACTCCAAGACTTCAATCCTGCTATCCAATTTTCTGGCTTACGTCGGACAGTGAACATGATGGTTTCATGGCTGCTGTTGCCCAGACTTCCCTCTATATTTAAGTCGGTCACGAGATTGTCTCCTTTGGCTAGGACCAAGTCTAGCAGAGAGCCACCTCTGGTTGGTCTATGTACCTCAGGAATCAGGAAGAGCTCCTTGACACAGGTCAGGAAGGAGCATGACCAATCCAACTTGGGCAAGTGTTTCTCCCAGGAGATGTCTGGATAATTAAAATTGCCCACAACAACCATGTGACATGCATGTGCAGCCTCAGTCAATTCTCAGGTGAACTCCAGATCAAGTTCCTCCACTGGTTTGGTGGTTTGTAGTAAACACCTACAGTTAGGTCACTCTCGCCACTCCCCCCTGCAACTTGACCCAGGGGTTTCAAGCTGTCCATTTTTGAAGCCGATGTCAACCTCCAAGAAGGTGTACTGCTCTTTCACATAGAGAGCAACACCTTCACCTTTCTTCCCCACCCAGTCCCTTCTATGCAAGGTGTAGCTATCTATATCTATGCTCCAGTTGTGTGAGGAGTCCCACCAGGTCTCCATAATCCCAACTAGATCATAATGCCCACTGGAGAGTAGGAGGGCTAGCTCCTTATGCTTGTTCCCCATGCTCCTGGCAGTATATAGGCTGTATACAGGCACCTGAGTCCTCCCGCAGAAATGACTCTCCCAGTGTCCCTATCTACAGGGCTTACTTGTATGTCAGTCCCTGAACATGTTTGAATTTGTGTATCCCTGTCCCCCAGCAATTTTAGTTTATGCCCCACTGTGATCCTTAAGGTCAGCCAAGAACAACTTCCTCCAAATACCATTAATACAACAAGCTCGCTTGGTGAAAATACATGAGAGGTCATTCTTGGTAGTTGCCCCTTAGCTCTGGAACTCCCTCCCCCTTGAAGCCTGCCAGAGCCCCAGCTTGGACATTTTCAGGAAGCACTGCAAGACCTTCCCATTTAGGCAGGTGTTCAGCAGGAAAGGTTAAGCTTAGGTCATGTTTAGGGACTCTTTGCTGCACAGTTTATTTTAATACTCTATTGGCTTTCATGAATCGTTTTGTTTCTCCTGTTTTATTTTTCTCTCTTTTTCATTTGTTTTATAAATTGTTTTGTTTTCTCCTGTAAGCTGCCTTGAGTCTATGTCAGGAAGCTGACTTATAAATCAAATAACTAATTAAATAAATAAATAAAGAGGTAGTAAAATAGCTACAAACCAGCAATGAAGAAAGTGACAAAGTTATCCAGAATATTTTCGTCATCTCTGGTGTCTTCCAGAGCTGCCAAGATCAGAAACAAAGAAGTAACAAAAGCTCACTGCACCTCCTCAAGAACACTTCAGGGAGTCAGGCATGGACAGTGGGGTTTGTGGGAGGCACCATAGTGGTGATTTAGAGCCAGCTTCTGACCCAATATAAATAACAGAGATCAAAGTGAACCTCCAAAATAAACTCCCAATTGTAAGCCCCCAAGGTCTGGAACACCCTGCCATCGGAGGTGGTTCAAGCACCTACATTGAACACCTTCAAGAGCAAATTGGATGCTTATCTTGCTGGGATCCCAGCTGACTTCCTGCCCTTTGGGCGGGGGGCTGGACTTGATGATCTTCCGAGGTCCCTTCCAGCCCTAATGTCTTTGAAATCTATGAAACCACCCCGTTTGGATCTTCAGCTTGGAAGAAGCATTCTGAATGCACAGAGATATTAGAGCCAGGAATGAACCACCCCACATTTCAAGTCAGCTGGACTTCAGGTTTGAACTTTACAAAACAATGTATAAATTAATGAAATCAAAGAGCACAGAGTTTCCTACCAGCTGCTTTCAGTATCTGAGTAAGAATATCTACTCTGGCTTCTTCTCCATTCTGGATGTCCTCTCTCCTCTGCTCAATGCATTCCTTTCCCACACGGCGCAGCAGCCTCACGCTTTCCTGAATCTCCTTTATCAGTTTTTGTTTTCCTGGCATGTACTGCATATAAATGGTACATAGTCATTTTATTGCTTTTGCAGCAGAAACCAAAGAGGGGTAGAAACTAGAGCTGATTGAAAACCTTGTCATAACTGTTTTTCAGTGGAAAACTGGATTTTTGACTAATTGATTTTTTTAAAATGAAAATGCGTTCCTGCCGTGGAAACACATTCTCTGCTTTTGTAAACAAAAATGTGCATCCTGCAAAGCTAAAACAGTTTGGCTGAAAACAATTTGAGTACGCTGCCCTAGTGCCTTCATGGCAGCTGTAGTTCAGTTGCCTTATGTACCATGGCTAAGGACTCCAGCACTTTCCCATTCCAGGCAAAGAAACTGTGATGCATCATGGGAAATATAGCCAAGCCAATGGAGAAGAACAGGAACATGAGGCTTCTGAACTGCAACTCCTACAGGCATGGAGGCACCACTTCTAAAACAAAATCTTCCAGCACTGTTTTTGAACTTTGAACTGTTGCCAAACACTGAAAAAATTTCCCAGAAAGAGAATTTATTTTCTGACCATCTCTCATGAAGATTAATGCTCTTTTAAGAAAGATACTAAGAATCCCTTAATTTTTGCATTTGGATCCTAGATATTGCAATGTGTGAGTATAATAAATGCATGAGAGAAACAGGGTTTTGTGACTTGTGTAAAGTTGTAAATCAAGCGTCAGATTGTAGCTCAGAAGAGCAAACACTCATGCTTAAAGGAAGGCCTGGTGTTGAATTCTCATGTGTCATCACTGACATGATACTCCATGGGGAGACCACAGAGAGAGAGAGAAGATGCCAGAGAAGAACAACATTATTTTGTTCCTTTCACAAGGTTCATAAAGGGCTAGTGAAATTTCTTGGTAAGGAAAGAGGCACAAGAACCATGTCTACTGATGCTTCTGCTAACACAACTAGGTCTAAAGAACTCTGCTTCTTTCAACTCGCTGACCACTATGCAAAGAAAGCAATTTTAATTTCAGTAGGAAGAGGTGGCTTGCAGGAGTGGAACTGGAACAGACCTTCAGTAAAGGGAGGCGTATCTCACTTGTTCCTTTCATGATCATGCTCACTGCATGTGGGAAAGGTGTCTGGTCATCATGCAGTGCATTCAGTTCCATGCCAAAGGCTACCTGAGGATATTGAGAGTAAAAAGGCAATTTCTGATTAAAACCTTTTGTTTACTGGATCTGAGATTAAGCAGCAGATGAACACACCCTATCACAATCCTGTATCATACTAGAAGCTTATTATTAGAGTCTACAAGCACAGCTTTAGTGAGAGGAAGAGAATGAGGGGCAGCCTCAGATTTCAGACACCCTCTCCTCTGGGTCTCCCACTTCCTTTCCCTCCACCTGGTTTAATGGGGATAATCATTTACTACTACCCTCTACCCATCCCAAGCTGGCTAACATAAAGGAGAGGAGAGCCTAGGTAAGAGAAGTGCCAGAGTCTGCACCAGTTTCTAATAGCTTTCTGGGTGTAATTCAAGGTGCTGGTCCTGACCTTAAAAGAGTCTTAAAGCCCTTAAAAGACCTCAGACCTATATGTCTAAGGGAAGAGGCTGTCCTTTGTTCCAAAACAACCTTCTGCAAGTACCATCTGTTCACTTAGAAGATACACGTGGGAGGTCATTCTCAGTAGCCACCTCTCAGCTCTGGAGCTCCCTCCTCCTTGAGGCCTTTTGCTGATGGCACAGCTGCTGTCTCAGTCATGAAATAGTAAATGGGATCACATGGCACAACAGCAACTGTAAACTGACCTGTGTATGACAGGTGCCTCAAGCATCTGACTGCATCACTTGCCTAGAACCTGACCCAGAACATCTGGGTCAGACCTTTTTATTTAGCTAGGCTTTTAGCAGGCGGAGGTGTTTTGAGGAATTATCTTGAGAACTGGTTAATCATTTATTTATCTGTTTCTCTGATGTGTTTTTGTGGTAAGCAACCCCGAGCCTTTATTGGAGAGCGCAGCAGAGAAATCAAATGAATAAATAAAAATGTCAGGTTGACATAGAGAAGTGATTCTCAACCAGGGTGTCTTGAGATCCTTTCAAAATCCTTTCTTGTGGGGTGCCAAGAAATGTTAGCACTATTAGGCACTCAAACTTGACTCACAAGATAAACCCAGAGATTCCAAATAGAAATCCACAGTGTTAACAACATTCTTACTTGCTGTAGTCTTTCTAAGATCTTTGCAACAGAAATATTTCTCTACTATTTTTCTGTAGTCAAAAAACAAGTGAAAATTAAAAGTGGGCATTCTCCCAGTGTAATAAAGGTTTTCTTGAGTCTAACAAGGGGCGCCTTATGCCTAAAAAGCCCGAGAACCACTACCAGAGTGTGACACTGAAACAATACATCCACACATGGATTAATACTGATGTGTCCTTTTGGGATGTTGGCGATATGAAAAGAAACCATCCTTAAGAGCCAACTCAATGTTAGAGCCCATGAGTCTTGTTTTCAAAAGCCCATGAGATACTAGATGCTTTTGAAAATGGGACTCTGGCTCTTTTGAAAATATAACACTGGAAGACTCGCTTTGGACCACTGTTTTGTAAAAAGAGAATCAAGCAGACTCAGTGAGTAGTTTTCATCCAAGTCTGAGTAAGGCTGGTGGAGTGTGATCTTGAATTATACTGACAATCATGGCAAGGCCCACTTGAGGTCAGCTGCAGGAAATGAGTCAGTCAGTACCTTGGCAAGAACATCCAGAGTCACACGGCTCATCATGTTGAGAATGCTAAGCTCCGTTTTTCCATCTGCTTTTTCCTCCAGCTTCTTCATCAACTCCTCTGCTTTTTCATTAAATGTGTCCATCAGACCCATCAGGTAGCTAAACCGTTAATAAAGATTAGCAAAGGGGCTGCAGTGGGCAATCATTTTTTAAAGAATAAACATCTTCACTTATTTTTATATAGGAAAATTTAAAATAAAACAAAGACTATGTCACATAATCCTTTAGCCTCAAACAGTCTGCATGCTTTTGCCAGATTAAAGAAAATAGCCCACTGCAATCTCTTGTTAAAGCAAGAGAAAAGGGTATATTCTGCTAATGCTGGCTCCAGTGCTACCCAGTTTTGTCAGAGAGATGAATGACCATGAACTAATCCTTTCATAGTAAGTGGATTGATCCAGAGTCATTGAGGCTAATGATCTGAAATGCATTATGCTTTCCTAGTCTTAGCTCTGCCTCTGAGTTCTGCACAAACCTGTATGTGACCAGAACAAAACCTAGCAATCAGTGTGTTTAACTGTATGAGGCACAGCATTGCTCTTAAGATATCTGAGGGGTGCTCATATATGACATGAGACTGCTGCCACCAAGAGCAAATTAACTTTGTGAATGCCTCTACTTAGTCTCCGCATTACCTAAAATTTTGGCTCCTTATCCTAGGAGGGTGATCTGAATTACCAGGCTTGGCTTCCTATCCAGTGAAAGGGAGACCTAAGTGTCAGGTAGGGGAGATCCAGATCATGTAAGTGCTCAGCAGGGAGGCATATCCAGAATTCAGCAGAAATCATTAGACTGGAGTTAGGCATCTGACTGCTAGGGGTGACTTGCATCATCTGGTATTCCAGATTATCCAGGAAACCCCTGACGGCAGTGCAACACCTAACTAACAGTGACATTATGAAAAACACCCTTTGCATTGAGGGGGAGGTGGTTACTACTCATCCTTTTCCCAGCAGTTGAGTGGTTAGAGCTCTAACTCAGGAAGTAGAACATCAGGGTTCATGGTCCTTCTTACCTGGAGGGAATTCAGATCCCTATCACCCACCTCCCTGACCACCAAGGAATGTCCTGACCACCAAGATAAGGTAGTCAGGAGAAATCTCCAGTCCTCCTCTTGAACCTGGGTCACTGTGCAGGCAAAAGTGCAAGATGGAGAGTGACTATGTAGCTTAGTAGTAATGGCACTGCTCCGGGAGGGAAATATCAGGTCCTGGGCTATGCTGTTATGTTTTTACCTTTTACATTACATAGTCATTGTTAAAAAACAGAAATAATCCTGGCAACAGGGACAAGACCCCAGGACTCTCTCTTCCCACTGGAGTGTCCTCTTCATTGGGTTCCTGTCATGCTCCTTTTTTCTGACCTCATGAGTCTTGCACTCTTGTCCAATGGACCAACTTCAACTGAAGGGTTGGAGCCCACCCCATGTTCATTCTGGCCTGTAGCTAAGGAGGTGAGAATGGCCTACAACCCCGGTGTCCCTCTTCCTGAGTGCTCTAGGTAAGCATCACCTTTGCTCTGTAATGAAGTGCAAGCTTGGTCTCAGCACTAAGCAGATGGGAATTTAGATTATCTTCAGGGGCCTCCCAGAACTGGATTAGGCTGAAACAGACTTTAGGAGGGACTTAGGTACACAGGTAGCCATCTTGGTTACTTCTCAGTATGTGTAGTAGATACTAGCCAAGGTCTACGGGCTTAGGAATCTAACAGACCACAATGGAGGTGCCTAACAAATCTATGTACTCAAGCAGTTTTGCATGGGGTGGGGTCAGCACAGATAGATTTTTTGTGACATGGATGTTTAATTCCACCTAGCCTCCATTTAGGGACCTGTAATTTCAGTTTGAATTTGTCTAAGTGCCTAGATAGACACCTCTATGGGAACTTTTGCTGCTCATGTTGTCATAGTTCTTGTGTGGATGAAAACGGGAGAATCAAATTTGTCTCCATTTTATGGTCTGTATCATATGGACAAGTTGTGGCTGCTGTGAGAAGAAGATAAAACTTTGGATAAAATGACAAGTATTCATTACATGTCTGTAGCCATACATAAATTTAAATTGATTTGGAAAAAAGTGCCCGTCACATTTTAATAATAACTTCCTGAAAATGAGAGAGCTTTTAGACAAATATTTGCCTTACGTTCGGCTGAAAGCAGGATCCACAATCCTTCGCTGCTTGTGCCAATGATCATAGTCATGATCAGATACCAAGCCATTCCCTAAAAATCTAACATAAATGCAAGAATTAAAGAAAAGGAATCGTTTCTATCAAGGGTGTCAATATGTAGTTTTCAGTTCTTTTAAACCAAATATGTAACAATTCTTCCCCATCTCATGGAGCACTACATTCATTTGAGTTCATTATTTGCTTCTTCCCTCTGATGAAGGGGAGTATTTTAAAACAGAGATGTAAACCTTTTGTTCTATGTGTATATAGTGCCACAATAGGGTGCTGGTTCTAGCTCATGAAATAAGGGTTGTTTTTTAATATTTTATTAGATAACACTTAGACTGGGGGTTAATTCCCTCTCAACATGGAAATACTCCAGTGCTATTCAGAATGATCTGATGTTTTAAAAGACAAGTGGAGTTTTTAATAACAGTCTTGTGATAGAGAGAGGAATAAATTATACTGAGGTAAGAGGGTTTATTGTAGAGCAGTTGACAAGCAGTAATTGTTTTATATATTTGCCCCTACCTCGTGCTAAGTGAAAGCTAACTCTGGGCAGCTTACTCACAAACTGAACTAAGGTATAATACCACAGTATGGCTCCCCCTTACCATGAGACAGAAGTGAACACATTAAACAGTTATTGCAGAATGGCCGACACAGTAAATTCTCCTTTTTAATTCAGAATATTTTTGCTCACACCATTGTGCAAATTTTCATCTACTTTGGGTTCTGACCCCAGAGAAGCCTAATTGCTCTGAGGATAAAAAAACATCCCACAAGGGAGAGATGTGACAAATCCAGTTACAAGAATGCAGTGTTTACTCCACCATTGTTCCAAGATGCTTGGCTACATGAGCATCAAGGTAATGTAATGGTTGGTCAATGTCCACATGTGACTGGAGGTTAGCTCAAGTAAAAAAAAATCCAAACAAATTTGGCCCCTTCTCCACTTGTGTTAAGCTCTAATTTATGTTTATTACATGATGCTGTTGACTGGTTATTCAGCCTCTTGTGGTCTAAGATCAAGTGTAGTAACTTTATCTGGGCTGCACTGGTCTGTTCCCCAGGACAAGATCACCTTTGCATGGTGTTGTGTAGTAGAGGGTGGAGACTTGTCCAATGCACTGTGGACAGGACATATGAGAGTCTACGATAGCCTCCCATGGGGGGGATATTGGCTAAACACCTATTTTATAGAAATGGGAGATCTCTCCCTATCTTGCGCCTTTGGACTAAGGGCAAGTGAGACTTGGGGGAATCCAAACTCAAAGACCCCTAGACTTGGGACCTTCACATCGGAAGCCTGCCATGGATTCTGGATTATCTGAATCCCCAGAACATACTTGCCGGTGGTAGCACTACACAGACTTAAATGACTGAATTCTGCTCAGTCGATATAATTCAGAACTGATATTAATTTGATCTGAGACATGAAATTAAAAAAAAAATTACCTACCTCACCCCAAGCAAATGACTGAGTTGACCATATACAGTTCGATCCTTCGGGTACTCTGGGGACATCAAGTATTCCTAAAATCAACCAGGTAAATAAATATGACCTATGATCCATTTCCCAAACAGAATGTAAAGAAATTTTCAAGCATTCAACACTCCTATTGTATCAAACATCTGAAGGCACACAACTGCCTACTGGAATTATGCTGGCGGCTTAGATGTCTAATCTGTAGGCTTACCAAATTCAAGAATGCTTTGTATGCCTATAGCTAACCTACTTTCCTCCATAGATCTCCAAGGGAGAAACTGGAAAATTGAGGCTATGTCACATCCCCAGCTCTTAAGTATACCTCACCCACATGCAAGAAGTGGTGAAGGCATCCATCACCTCTCAGAACCAGTTTACAAGACAGGTAGTGCCAGGCAAATGATACAGCAAGAAATAGAGCCCTGGTGTCCTCACTCAGACTCTGTAAGGCAGATACAGCCCTCTCATGTTACAGCAGGACTGGTTGATTCTAGTCAGCTATTGCATTTCACCATGAAATACCTTTACTCCTTCAGGACTGAAAACTATTACCGAGACTCTATGGAAAACATTTAAACGTACAATGGGTCCATACATCTCTGCCCTGCAAGCAAACAGAAAGAACAATGGCACAAAGTAATATAACAAATACTGATTCAATGCACGTGTATGAAGTATAAACCATGTGTATAATGGAGCGCAAAGAACTACAGTAAAGTGTTTTGGGAGGGTTGGAGAGCACTCTAGGCAATGCATAGCTTGTGGCCTGGAGGGTAGAGCACTTTGCTAGGAAGCTACAGATCCAGGAACACATTTGTGAAGGGCCAGCAGGGGAGATCATGCTTGGGGACAACCAACATGGGTTCATTAGGGACAGGTCCTGTCAGACCAACCTGGTGGCCTTCTATGACCAGGTCACAAAATCCTTAGATGCAGGTGTCATGGTGGACATAGTCTTTCTGGACTTTAGGAAGGCCTTCGAAACAGTCTCTCACCCCATTCTCATTAAAAAATTGGGCGACTGTGGCATCGATGCCTACACAGTCAGATGGGTTGTGAATTCGCTGGAGGGTTGCACCCAGAAAGTGGTGGTGGACGGGTCATTTTCAACCTGGAGGGACGTGGGCAGTGGGGTCCCCCAGGGCTTGGTCCTTGGGCCCGCACTGTTCAACATCTTCATCGGTGACTTGGACAAGGGGGTGAAAAGCACCTTGTTCAAATTCACGGATGAGACTAAAATGTGGGGAGAGGTGGGCATGCTAGAAGGGAGGGAAAGGCTACAACTAGATCTGGACAGGTTACCGGGGTGGGCGGATGAGAACAGGATGGGTTTCAACACTCACAAGTGCAAGGTGATGCACCTGGGGAGGAAGAACCAGCAGCATACCTACAGGCTGGGGAACTCCCTTTTTGTCAGTGCAGAGGCAGAAAAGGATCTTGGAGTCATCATTGATGCCAAGATGAACATGGGCCGGCAGTGTGGGGACATGGACAGGAAGGCCAACCGTACCTTGTCATGTATCCACAGATGCATCTCGAGCAGGTCCAGGGAGGTGATCC